CAAGATCAGAACGGGTATCATCGCAACAGTGAGCATCATCATCGGCCGCCGAAGCATGAAGTCGAGGTGCAGGCGGATATTTCGACGGGCAGCCATTACCAGGGGTTCAGCGACCTGCGGCAAGCTCTGCCACTGCGCCAGCTCACCACACTTCCTTCCTCCATCCTTCATCCTGCTGTTCCTCTTTCTTCCCGCTGCTCCACCCCTACCTGTCACGTCCAGCTGGCCGCCCAGCGCTCTGCACCTTGTTATTTTTAGTCGTGTCGATCGCCATGCGATCCTCAGAACCGCACCGCTCTTGGTAGCCAGCACCCAGAGGTATCGCGCACCCGTTGACTTCCTTGATTTTCTGGCTAGATAAGATCGTAGTGCCGTGGCACGAACACCATTTCATTTCCAAGTAAATTCTTCGATATTGCTTGCGGTGGCTCCTCCTCCTCCTCCTCCTCCTGCTCCTCCTCCTCCTCCTCCTCCTCCTCCTCCTCCTCCTAATCATCCTTTCTTCATCGGAGCAGCTTCTGGAAGCGTTTCTCGACATCATCAGCAATCAGCGTTATTATCGTTATCAGGATCAGCATCCTCGCCTGCATCCGCAGATTATTCCTCCGCATCGTCCTTCTCCTATTCCTACTCCTTCCCCGCTTCATCGCAGCACTCCCCTGGATCAGCGCCCCCCCCCCTTCAAAGCCTGCTGAGAGGTCATCGTCGCTGGCAGGGCGAACGTTGGCAAGCCCGGCCCCTAATCTGGGTAGGGCGAGGCAGAGGACAGACCTCCAGAGATTTTCCACCGGGTGCCCGCTTCGTCCCCTCAGCTGCTCTCCTCCCGTCAAGGAATCGCGCTTGCCAGTCTTAGTACTTACATTCGCGTATTGGTTGCGCGGTTCTAGAGATTTGAGACCTACTCGTTGAGCTGTATTTCAGCTAGCTACCTTTGGAAAAAGCTCAAAACCTATTAGAGCTTCTTTGATTTGTCCTTGCGTTCCTTGCTTCTCGCAGGGCAGCCACATCACAACCCTCCTGTCAAGGAGCCGCGCTTGCCAAAAACTCCAGAGACTTGGAATGATTTGTCCTAGGTAGAGTCCTGTGTGCTCGGCCTCTGGATGCCGCTCTGGGGCCCCGGGGGTCGCCGCAGATCGACCCAGGACGATCGGATGCACGTGAGAGTGACCCTTCGCCAGGGTGGCCTCTGGTGCCCGCCCAAGGGGTGCCGGCTATTCTTCAGATAGGCCTGCGTGTAGGAGTCCAGGCTCCGTGGAGCAGAAACTTGGTCCAGTGATGGCGCGCCCTTTATTGTGCCCCAAATGGTTGCAACGGCTTCACATGCTGCTGCAGTGGCTTTCAATAGAGGGGAGTGGTGTAAAGTAGAGTATGGTGAGTAGAGTAGATCAAAGTAGAGGAGAGGCGAGGCGAGGAGAGGAGAGCAGAGGAGAGCAGGAGTAGAGTAGGAGTAGGAATAAGAGTCAAGTTAGCCAGGTCGAGCGAGTCAGAGGGCTCCGCCTACTCCCCCCCTCCCCCCCCGCAACATTAGAATCAAGTGTGGCACAAGTTGCTACTGTGATTGGAACGCTCTCCCGCCTCGCAAACGGAAGGCGCTCGCGCGTAGCCCCGCTTCGGATGACCTGACGAAGGGAAAATTGCGCGGGCCGCGCATGGGGCGGGAGCGGCAAACTCTTCCATGGGCGCAGCGACGACGGAGCAATCGCCGCGCGGACACAGCATGGCCACTCCGACTCGGAACACGTGCGGCGCCTGGGCGAGGTCGGCCGTTCGCCCGCTCTCGCGCGGCCCCGCCGCCGCCGCCGCCTTTCGTTCGTGAGGCTCGGCGCACGGACCACTGCGCAGCGCCCCCCGCGCTGGCACGCCAGCCACGTCGAGCGGCATATGTGCGCGCGGCATGCCTGGGGCCAGGGCGGCACGTCGCCCGAGCTCCGCGCGCCCTCCACAGCAAGTACCCGACACGTGTCCAGCCCCACCTCTCCTCCTCCTCCTCCTCCTCCTCCTCCTCCTCCTCCTCCTCCTCCTAAACGTCCTCCTCCTCCTCCTCCTCCTAAACGTCCTCCTCCTCCTCCTCCTCCTCCTCCTCCTCCTCCTAAACCTAAACCTCCTCTCTCCTCCTCCTTCCTCCTCCTTTTCCTGTTCCTGTTCCTCCTCCTCCTCCTCCTCCTCCTCCTCCTCCTCCTCCTCCTCCTCCTCCTCCTCCCCCTAAACCTCCTAAACCTCCTCCTCCTCCTCCTCCTCCTCCTCCTCCTCCTTCCCCTCCTCCCCCTCCTCCCCCTCCTCCCCCTCTCCCTCCTCCTCCTTTTCTGCCGCACCCCCCGATACTTTGTATGAACGCTCCACGTGAAAGAACACACCGACAGACATGCACGATCTGCGCCGCCCTCAGCTCTACCGTGCTTCCCAGGGAGCCCGCGACAGGGGCGAAACACATGCTCCGGGGGAGTCCAGGGGGAGCCGCGGAGTCTCAGCTGGATCCGCGTGGCCCCCCGATTCCGCTGGACCACCCAGGAGCCCACGACAGTGGCGACGGTTGCGCAGTTCGCAGCCACCCAGGGAGTTGCGAGGAGCCCACGAAAGTGGCGGCAGTTTCGCAGCCCGCAGCCTCCCAGGGAGCTGCGAGGTCTCGGGTACTCCCCCACACTCCGCCGTGCCTCCCAGGAGCCCACGAAGGTGCCGACAGCTGCGCCGTTCGCAGCCTCCCAGAGAGCTGCGAGGTCTCGGGCACTCCCCTACGCCGTGCCTCCCAGGAGCCAACGAAGGTGCCGATAGTTGCGCCGTTCGCAGCCTCCCAGAGAGCTGAGAGGTCTCGGGCACTCCCCTACGCCGTGCCTCCCAGGAGCTCACGACAGTGGCGACGGTTGCGCAGTTCGCAGCCGCCCAGGAGTTGCGAGGTCTTGGGAACTCCCCCACTCCGCGTGCCTCCCAGGAGCTCACGAAAGTGGCGACGGTTGCACTGTCCGCCGTGCCTCCCAGGGAGCTGCGAGGTCTCGGGCACTGCCCCACTCCGTCGTGTCCCCCAGGATCCCACGAAAGTGGCGACAGCTGCGCAGTTCGCAACCTCCCAGGCAGCTGCAAGGTCTCGGGTACTCCCCGACTCCGCCGTGCCTCCAAGGAGCCCACCACAAATGCGACAGCTGCGCAGTTCGCAGCCATCCAGGGAGCAGCGCAGGAGGAGGCAGGAGGAGGTGGAAGAGGAGGCATGGCGAGAAGGGGGGAGGATGAGAAGGAGTGGATACCACAGCGCTCTGTTCAAAACGAGAAGCCAACACAGGAGGGTTGGGAAAAAGAAAGGCCAGTGGAACAGATGCGCCGCGTCGACGAGGCAGGAACGCCACGCTCAGGCGAGACCTGCGCGGAGCCGAGGCGAGAGCGACATGCCCGGCCGCTCGCTCGTCGGCGCATGCGCGTGCGAGAGGTGTGCGCCAGGCCCGAGCGGGAGTTCCGTTGTTTCGAGAGGTGCGAGCGGCGCCGATATCCGGGCGGCGCCGAGATCCGGGCGGCAGGTCGGCCTTCTGCGCGAGGTGTGCGCCCAACGTTTTCCTTCCCGCCGCGCACTGCGCAGCATGTGCGGCAGAGTGCTCACGCCGAGGCGGAGCACGGCTCGTCCCGTTGGACCGCGGCAGGATGGGACGTCCCGGGTGTGGCCCCGATCTGCCGCTTTTGTTGGCAGAGCACGAGTCCATACCAGTAAGTTCCAAAGGCCGAGAAGAGCATAATGGAGTAGAAGGATCCCCGAGCGGGCTAGGTCAAAGTCGGGTGGGCGAGCATAGGGTAGAGTAGAGCAGAGTAGAGAAGAATATATGGTCGAGTGGAGGCGGGCAGAACAGGGTGGAGTAGGGCAGAGGAGAGGAGAGCATGGCAGAGTAGAATGGAGTAGGGGAGATGGTAGACGGAAATATTACAGTAGAGTAAGGTCGAATAGAGGTGGAGTAGCGTCGAGCAGGGTAAGTTAGATTAGTGTAGAGTAGGTGGAGTAGGGTAGAGTAAGGTAGAGTAGGGTAGAGTAGAGTGAGCGTAGTAAAGCAGAGTAGAGCATATTAGCGGAGCAAAGCAGAGTAGAATTGAGGGGTGGTATGCCAGAGTCGAGTAACGTAGGAGGATAATATAGCGGGAGAAGATTCGAGCAGGGGTCTGGTGCGATAGAGTCGGGCAGGGTGGGGTGGAGTAGAGTTCTGTAGCGTATGAGACTGCAGAGCAGGGCAGCGAAGAGTTTACACTCGGGCAGAGCGGAGTCGAGCGGAGGGGCAGAATGGAGCAGAGCAGAGCAGAGCAGAGTACAGTAGAGTCGAGCAGAGTACATGAGTAGAGCAGAGCCGAGCATCACAGGGTAGAGGTTGGGTAGAGTGGAGTGCTCTCCGTGCGGCGCGCGTGGCCAGGCGGAGAGGCGCGGCGCAGCCCGGTCGTGCCCCGCGGGCATCGGTTTCGTTTCGAGCAGGGGCGGAGCGTCTTGGCTCGCCGATGGGCCTGCCAGGGAATCGTCGAAGAGCCTGCACGACATGGTCTTGGAACAGTTCTGTCTGAGACTGTCTTGTCTAACACATCGGGTTTGTGCCCTGAGGATCGGGGGCGGAAAAGAGAAGGGTGATGACTAGGGGGGGTGGATATCATGGCGTGGGCCATGATCTTTTCCCAGATCTCATGGCGCCTCTTCTTATTTCATTACGTCCCTGGCCCCCGCGCTGGGCCGCGCACATGCCGCCGGTCATGACTTGCACCCCCCCTCTTGGACACCCCCCTCTTGGCCGCTCCCGAGAGGACATGGTTTCTGCTCTCATACCATTTTGGGGGTTGCAAGAACATGTGGTGGCAGGCCTCTAGGAATGCTGGGGCGATCGGTCTCTGCTCAACGGCTGGGGCCGTGGCAGCCTGGCGCCGTCGTCGAGGCGCGAGCAGCGCAGACGGCCCCTCGGCGGCGAGCGAGGGGGGGGGTGGGGGGGAACTTCGAGTTTCCAGGTTTTCGGGCGTTTTCGTATAGCTTCCTCGCGTTTTTTTCCGCGCTC